AAAAAAAAAAAAAAAAAAAAAAAATCAATAATAAGGATGAAAAGGCATGGCAGTATAATTGAAGAAGAAAAGAATAATTAAAAGAAAACACCATGTGGAAACCGTCTATGGGATTACAATCCAATTCCTTCATAGTTAGTAGGATCCACTTTTAATAGGATATAAACTGCTTTGTACATTGAAAACCATGTGTCAGTGTATTTAGGGTTACCATACATCCGGGTTTTCCCAGACATGCCCTTTTGGGTTTTTTTGAGTCCTCCTCTCTGTCTGGGTGAAATAGGAACCAATGTCCGGGATTTTGCTTTGCTCTGCTCTGCTGGCAGGAGCGGGGGGGAGGGCAATTGGAGGCAGGGGCGGTGCTGGGGCTGCAGTGGGGCAGGGGAGGCGCCTGCCCCCGCAGTGGGGGAAGGTGTGGGGGGGCCCTTTGAGGACAGCGGGGAGCTCCGTGGCCGGGCCAGCGCCTGTGCTCATGCGGGCCAGGGGGCCCCAGGAGACACTGCCTGGTAGGGAGAAAGTGGGGGCACAGCCAGGCTGCCGGGCATGGTGCTGGAGCCTCCACCGAGGGTGCAGAACGCCACAGGCATCCTCTCCTCTTCCCTCCAGCTTCTCCCATCGCCCTCACAAATTGGAGCCACCGTGCCCCTGGCCCAGTCGGGAGCAGCCAAGGGCCCTCTCTGGCAGGGCTGGGGGGACAGAGGGCTGCGGGTTGGGTGTGAGGGGCACTGACAGGACTGGGGGGGCAGCAGCTATAGGTGAGGAGTGCAGGGCACCAGCAGTACCAGGGGGCTGCAGCTCAGTTGTCAGTGGCTGGGGGTAGGGGTGGGAAACAAGGGACTGTGGATTGGGAGTGAGGGGCACTAGCAGGGCCAGGTGTTTAGGTCAGGAGTGAGGGACAGTACAAGGGTTGAGGCATGGTGCTGCCAGTTGGGAGTGAGGGTAGCAGGGTTGTGGGGTGCAAGCTGTGGGTCAGGAGTGCAGGACACTGGCAGTGCCAGGGGGCTGCAGCTTGGGAGTGAGCAGCCTGGGGGAAATGAGGGACTGTGGATCGGGAGTGAGGGGCACTGGTAGAGCCAGGTGTCTGCAGGTCAGGAATGAAGGGCAGCAGCAGGGATGGGGAATTAAGGGGCACCAGCTTAGCCCAGGGTAGCAAGGGACTGTAGGCATGGAGCAAGGGGCTCCAGCAGGGCCAGGAGTCTGCAGGTCGGGAGTGGGGGGCATTGCCAGGGCCAGACGGCTATGAGTTGGGACACCTCCCAACAGGTGTCCTCTTTTTTGGAACTGGAAATATGGTAACCTTAAGTGTATTGCACTTATTTTCTTGAAGGAAGAAGGTGGACTCTTGCACTCTTCCTTCAAGAAAATAATTGCAACAGATTAACAAAAAGGCTGCTTTTTGCTGCTGACCAAGGGCAATGGAATTCCAGTCGAAAGCAATGTCCATCCTGTTTCAGGCCAAACTCCATTGCAAAATTATTTTGGTGCTCCAGAGATATGTTATTTCAGAAGGGGAAGATAACCATAATTACACTTAAATTGACTTACGCAAATCAATTTCTCTGACCCTCAGGGCAGAAGGTTAAGTTATTTGTACTGAAGGAAAAAATATAGAGGACAAATTTCTTCTGACAGCCACTCAAAGCAAGAATCTTTCAGATTATCTTTTCATATTACTGAAGAAATACACAGAGGTGAATTCTTTCTAGGAAGTGGACTTTTTTTATTTCATACAACTACAAGATAAGAATTTGTCCTGCTCTTAAGAGACTGGCCAAAAATGATCAGATATGACATTTCTTACTTACGGAAATAAGGCTATCTAACATATCTCCTTACCAGCAATCTTACTTCCAGATGCTAACTTTCAATCAAGAAATATTTCAAATACCAGAGCTACAAAATACTTATTTTTTATATTTTTTTCCCAAAGCAGCTGAACTTGTGAAAGAATTGGATGTGGTAACACATTAAATCAGAAAATCATTAAAAAGCCAACTCAAACTCTACTGCCTTGGCACTAAATGATGCGTCTCTCCAGTCTGGGTTGTTCGGAGTCTCCACTCGGTCAATAAAGTTAAGAGAGCTCATCTGCGCTGTAGCACATCCAGGCAGGTTTGTTCCCTTTAAGTCAATATACATATGACAGCATGTCTTTTATTTACAGAATGGTTTGACCATAAAACTACCAACTGTAAAAGCATGAAGGACAAGAGGTTTTTCTCTTGCAACGAACACACAGATTCTTCAACCAAGTCCGTCAAGGAAGAAGAACCATTGTCAACTCAAAAAACACCCAAAAGTCAACTATATAAAAAATTCAAAGTATGCCTTGCCGAATAAGTCTATCAAGTTCAGACAGAAACAAACCATGAAAAAAAAGGTTGGTTAAGAATACCACTAACAAGTTAGGCAGCAAAGGTAGCATGCATTTGTGTGTTTAAAGTCCAGCATAACTTTAGTAGAGGTCCTGGGAGAAAACAGCCCCCTAGGCATTTTTTTTAGATGCACTGTCAACTAAAATGTGCCTCTGATTTTGGTCACTTTGTTACCAGAAAGATACTGAGAAAGTGGAAGAAATGAAAAGAACAGCAACAGATGTAAAAGGAGCCAGACTGATTTCTGAAGGTGTTAAAGAACGATTAAGCTGTAAGTACATATAGCCCCCTCCACAAGTTACAGGTACTGCATAATGAACTGGTTACCTGCACAATTACCTGAAGAGGAGATACCCTTGCCAAGTAGCAGGGGTGCGAGAGGCGGGCCCTATTCAATTCAGATTTGGCCTGAATCAGGGACAGTGATTTGATTCATCAATTTGGATCAATGTCCCTGATTCGATTCCAATGATTCTGAATCTGAAGATTCGATGACGATTCGGATAATCAGTGATTCAGACACAGACAGCTTTAAAAGTTTTTTCTACATACCCTGAGGTAGCAGGCATGGCTTATGAATGCTGCAGTGCTGGGGCACATGGAGCGTGCCACCGAAGTGCAGGGGTGGAGGCCATCCACGTGCTCAGCAGCGAACCCTAAAGCGGACCGGAAATACTTCTGGTCCACTTCTGGGTCTGCCCGGGAGCGCACTGCTCCCCAGCTCTCCCCTGCATCTGTCCAGCTGAGTGATTAGCCGCAGGGGGACCCTGGGTGCCCCCCTGACCCAGGACACAACAGTCACTGAGCCAGGAGGGCACGGGGGGGGGCGGCATCTCACGTGCTCCCCAGTGGACCTGGAAGTAGACCGGAAGTGCTTCTGCTCCACTTCCAGGTCTCGTGCCAAGCATGCTGGGGAGTCCCCCACACTTCTGTGGGATGCTCCAAGAGTCCCAGCACTGCAGCACCCACAAGCCCCTGTTACCTAGAGGTATGTAGAAAAAACATTTAAAGCTGTCTCTCCAACCGAACCTCCAAATCTTTCTGAATCTCTCCAAATGGATTTGGAGTGTTCGGATTTAATTTAGAGACATTAAAGGGTCCTCTGATTCGATTCGGCGATTCCGTCACCAAATTGGGCCGAATCTCTGCCAAATCAAATCAGGAACCAAAGCTCCACACAGTCCTACCAAGTAGCTATCACACTATAAAAAGCTCTAAGCAGCTATAAAGTTAGACCTAAAAAATGTGTACTAACTGTAGAGCTGGTTGCTATCAAGCTTTCATTTGCATGCGTAGCTGGGTCTCCCCTGCAGCTGGGTGCCCTGCAGACACAGGGGTGAACCTTGCCTAGCCGGGGCTCAGAGTCCTGCAACTGAGGGGACTCACATCCCCAGCAGCTGACCACTCCGGGTCTCAGCAGCCATGAGGAACAGCTATGATCTACCAGCCCTGCAGATGTGTGGCACCCCTGGAGGTGGGAGACTGTGCCAGCTGAAGGGGCTTCCTGCCACAGAAACTTGTTTCTTGCTGGTGCAAGGGGAGACTGGAATCGGGTTCTCCCTGCATCGGCAACAAGGCAGGATGGGATCTAATGCATGATCCCACAATCATGCCTCCTGCCTTGCAGATGTGGCAGGGTAGGAGGTGTGACTGTGTGGATCCTGCATTAGATCCCATTGAGCCTTTACCTGCACAAGTAGAGGGGGGCTTAGAGACCAATTTCCCCCTGAATTGAGAATACACATCTTCAGAGGACTTACAAGCGTCTAGACCAGAGGTTTCCAAACTTTTTCTTATCACATACCCACTTCGTGACTTACCAGCTGCCTGCATATCCCCTACCAGCATACATTTTATATTTGAACCCCTTAAATGATAGTTATTATTATAACGAAAATTAAATCTGCCATTATGCAATTTCTCCTGTGCGCCCCCCCAAAGATGTATTGCGTACCTCCAGGGGTATATGTACCGCAGTTTGGGGACCCCGGTCTGGACGTTTGTACAAAATGTGTTGAAAGCAATAAGAGTGACGTCAATGCTTACATACTTTACCTTAGAATTGCAGTGGAAGTTCTGCAGTTCTGCAATTTTACTTTGCCTCATTACATCCGGCATCTGGAAAGGATAAAGAACAGCTTTTGGAAGGACATCAGGAAAAAAAAAAAAGAAAAGAAAAGAAAATTCCCTGATTCCTCCAAGTCAACAGAACAGACTTCTGCTCAGACCAACTTCTGCATGTAGCCTCTTCATTCATTAAAAAGAAGTCTTTAAGACCATCTAATTCACAAATCATACAAGGTACAAGGAGAAAAATATTCCTATAGTTTAAAACAACCAAGAAAGCAAACACCCCAGCAGTTCACGTGCAAGAGCTACTGGTGCCTCAGAAGACAAGGTGAATTTTTGGCTATGACACAAACCTTTGAAATACTACGCTTCCCCACTGGAACGACTGTTAGTGCTGCACCTAATGAAGGATGTCTTGCATTTGTTATAGGACCTAACGAAGACCGTCTTGCATTCGAAATCTTGTCTAACTCTATCCCAACTATGCAGTGGGTCCAATAAAAGATAGCGCCCTAAGAGATCCTTGCCTCCTTGTTACAGGAGCACATTCTCCTGATTCAACTTGCTTTGCTTCAGACCGAAGATCACAGCATAGGTTAACCTATAACATTACGGTTCACGCAAGGAGAGCAGCCTATTTTAGAGGACTTCGCTTTTCCCCTACTTGTTTTTAAAAGTATTAAAACTCCAAAAGGCAAGAACTAAGATGTCAACACCAAACACCAATTTTGAAAACAAGCAACCAGGAGAGTTTATTCCCCTTCTGCTCCACCCCTTAAAAATAACCACAGGAAGTCTCAATTCGGCAACGCGTGGCCTAGCATCTGCCTGCATACACCATGGGGTCTCGACCTCCTGAGGCTCGAGGCACCGCGCTGAAAACAGCGCTGGCTCTTCTTTTTCACTCCTTTTTGGACTACGGAAAAGTACAGGAGAACGATTCTTCTGTTGCAAAGAACCCAGCAAACCACGACAGGTTTGCTTGGGACGCGTGGATCCTGGCTTGAAATCTCTGGGTTCAGCTGGTGAACCAGGTCTGCACGGGCTGAACGGTGCTGAGACGGCAGGGCACCCCACGGCCCCCTTGGACACGATCTCGGGGCACCCTGCGGCACCCCTGACAGGGTCTTAAGGAGCTCCGCAGCACCCCTGACAGGGTCTCGGGGCACCCCCGAAAAGATCTCAGGCCCCCTGGAAGGATCTCTGGGCCCCCTGCAACACCCCTGAAAGCACCCAGGACACGAGTCTCCCCCGCAATGATCCCCAGGGCCCCCCGAAGCACCCTGGACAGGATCTCGCGGCACCCCTCAAAGGATCAAGGGGCGCTGGGACGGGCTGCGAGCAGAGGGGCTACGATCCGGGCCCGCGACCTCCTACCTCCATGGCCGCCGGAGCAACTCCCTCAGGTCGAGTCGGACCGGACCGGGCCGGGCCGGGCCGTGCCGGGCGGCTCCCAGGGGGAGGGGAGGGGCGTAGCCTCCGGGCCCCACCCCTCAAGAGAGGCGTGCGGCGCAGGCGTAGTGTGGCGGGCGCCAGGCCAAGCGTGCGCAAGCGCAAACTAGGAAGGGTAAGAGGCATGGAAGCAGCTGCGCAGACGCAGTGCGAAATTTGAGGGAAACGGGGAAGGGGGGGCGGAAAAAGGAAGTTTGCGCAGGCGCACTGTGAACTCTGAGGCAGGAAAGGAACGGGGTAGAAGGGCAGTGTGCGCAGGCGCAGTGTGAGGCGGTGGTGGCTGAAGAGCAAAGGGGGGGGTTGTGCGCAGGCACAGGACTGCTAGGCGGGAACTAGGAGCCTGTAGTCCCGCCATCTTGTGCCAGGGGCTTTGCAGCCCTGTGGGCCGGGTGACCTCATGAATGCATTGCCAAGGCAACCACCTAGGGGTGCTCCCACCTGCCCAGGCTTGGGTGCAATGGGACACCCTAGAGGCGCCCACTTCTGCACTCCAGTGACTGAGCTGTCCTCACAGGGGTGCCTGCACCGTCTCCCCGTGCAGTGTTTGGTGGGAGTTGCGATGGCCTGACAGGCGTTAACATTTCTCACGCCATTCACATGCAAGTCGTGTGAGAAAGTGAACCTGTGGCCCGTTAAAAAACGATCCCTCGCTTGAGCAACGTGGCTAACCAGCCACAAAGAGGTTCCACATCACCTGTGGAACCTCTTTGTGGCTGGTTTGCACAGCGCTTTCCCTTCATGCCCTGGTCCCCTGCTCGGAGGCGTGATGGAAATTTTTTACCCCAGCAACGACATATGCCGCTGCGCTAGGTCTCGAATTTGGCACGCCAGGACACACGCCCTTGTGGGGTCTGGCTTCAAATTCCTCAGATCCTGCCGTGCAATTAAAGTAATGTCTGCCTGTGCCCAGCCAGAGGCGGGGGGAAGCCAGGTGGATAAATAGTGGCGCTGCTGGCGGGGACGAGACTTTATGAGGAGAGCCTTAAGGAATTGGTAGGGCTGTTCAGGGGAGACCTAGGAAGTGTTGAGATGCTTGGGGAGGAAAGGAGGAGTAGGTAACATAGCGGAGGAAGGAAGGGAGCTCAGACACCAGTTTATACCACTGTCCTAACTACTCGCCTTCCTTTTACCCCATTGCCTCCCAATGGCTGGCACCTGCCAGGGGTTCAGCAATGAAGGAGAGGTGGCCTTTGGCTGTCAGCTCAGCAGCCTCTTGGTAGCCAGCAGGTTCAACCGCAGCCAAATGTCTGCAACCTTCCCATAGCTCAGCTGATTGCATGTGAATGCAGCTGGATTGCTGCATTTCATGGCTACCAAATGCAAGAGCATCGCGTGAGACCCCAGCAGTCCTGAAACGGTGCTGGAGAAACAGCCCAATACAACCATCAGCGATGCAGTTTCTTCTACAGAGACAAAAGTTGGAGATAACATAAGAACATCAGTGGTTGAGCAGAAAAAACCCTTCTACAGAGCAAGTAGGGGAGGAGACTTGGCTTTGTGCAAGCTGTTTTCCCTTTCTACACCTCTCTTTTCCCCCCCTCACTCCGTTTTCATCTCTTTAGATTATAAAATGGGAAATGTCCCTTACCCTTTGTAGAGCCCCAGGTACAACAGAGCACTGGGCTTCACTGGGATGATCCCAGTGGGATCTCTGTGCATTAGTGTAAGGCAAACAATGAATACTCATTAGAAACGGTTGCAAGGAAAGGTAGTCAACAGCAAACACAAAATTCAGGGCATGCTTTGGGAAGACCGCCCCATCGCAAAATGTCCTGTCACGCTGAACAAAAAATGCAAGCTGACATTGGCGCTTTCCGACTGCACCAAACGTTGGGTCTAATTAAGCAGTGGAGGGGGGCAAGGACACGGTTAATGTTTATCACCTAGAGATCTTTTTGTCTGAAGTATTTTCTCAAAATTAACCATTTAATCCTGGGATGTAGTACCATTATACAGATGGCCCTGTCTGTTGTCCTGGTATACATCCTAAAAAGGTTGATACTGCATTGTCTATGGGATGCCAGGGGCATCAATACAGCCTGCAGCTGGTATTTTGAAAATTCATCTCCCTTCTCTGCTTTCTCCCTTTACTTCCCATAGGCCCAGCTGGCATGCTGGATAAATAATAGGTTTCTCAGAGCTCTCTAGTTTAGCCTCAGGATCCAGCAAGGTACTGGCGTAGCTCAGCAACCTGTCAGATAACACAAAGGGAAAGTCTTCAGCTTCTTTGCCTTCACATCTTCTGGGCTAAGGTCAATGCAAGTTCTCCTATGTCTCCCCAAACCCTGTTAGCCATATCTCTCTCCAAACAAACCAAGAACAACAATAGTAAAGTAACGACAAAAAGAAAACGAGTGTGGTATGTCCAGCTGTTTTTGCAAGCGGCATGCATTCTTGGGTTCAATCTCAAATCATCAGACCAGCCGCAGCTGTTGCCAACTTGCACTTCTTTTGTGCTCTGCCCTGCATAATGTTCTACCTCGGGTCACGACAGCTATTAAAAAAAGACTCTGTCCACCACAGCTGAATCTGAGTGTTTAAGACCAGAGCAGCCTCTGCTCCTCCAAGCAAAGCTCTCTCTGCTGAGGCTGGCTGGGTGCTTCTGATTTACAACCAGTTGCCCTAATTCCCCTACTCCTTAGCCACTTCTGTGGCCATGTAGGACCGTGGCTACAGTGCAAACAAGGGGGGATGGAGACACCTCTAGCCCTTGCACACCACCTAGCTGTGCTTTACAGCTCCTAACTAAGCATGAACAAGAGATTGGCTTGGAATCTGGGGCTGCAAATGGATGTTGCGTTATCCCCAAATAAACCATTTTATCCTGGGATGTAGTGCCATTGTACAGATGGCCCTGTCTGTTGTGCTGGTACACATCCTAAAAAAGTTTCCCGGATAAGAGGTAGTAGCCATTTATCCTGGGATATTGCAAAGGACATCTGTACAGTTATCCCAGGATTGAGCCACTGAATCAATGGCAGGAAAGTGGCACTGCATTCAGTGGCTCACTCCACCCTGATCAGAAGGGTGATGTTTGTACACGCCGAGTCTAGGATATATTTGTTCTGGGACAAACACTGGGACAAATGCAACTGCTGTTGCTAGCTTAGAGGAATTGAGATGCACAGAGGTTAAGTGAAGGGAGAAATGTCATTCCAGACCCAAATCTCCAAAGGAGCACTATGCGGATTCAATGCTAGAGGACACGCAACCTGGAATGTACTCCTTCCACAGACTCAAACCTATACCAACACGAACAACTAAAACAGCATTCAAACCTCACCTCTGTTATAATTACAAACACTTAATGTTCCCATTTTGCTGTCTATTCTTTTTCAAATCGTTTGCCAGATCACTCTCTCCCCCAAAGATCCTAATTCCTCCCCCTAGATTGCTACCTTTTTTTGCCCATGCACAGATCAAGATGAACTCCTTGATTGTGATCATTACTGGGGGTAGTTTTGAACTGTTGGTGGCAGACAGACCATTCAGGAAATAAGCCCCACTCCACTTCCCGTTCCAGGCAGGAGGTGGTAAGTACACCCTGGATGTGCCCCATGCAATCATTTTTGACTGTGCTACAATCCCAGACATCTTCTCCACCTCATTTCCAGGGTACATGAGCACAGAGTTTGAGTGGGTTAGGGAGATTACTTCCTTGATGGCGCGATTAAATAACAGCAATAAACCAAAGGCAGAGGAATTCACAGATTCACCGAAGTATAGGGCCGGAAGGGACCTCAGGAGATCATTGGGTCCAGCCCCCCTGCTTGGGGCAGGAAAGACCCAAATCACCCCAGCAAGGTGCACGTCCAGTCTCCTTTTGGAGATCTCCAGGGTAGGTGCCTGCATCACCCCTGCCGGGAGTCTACTGCAAAGTCCGCTTGCACGAACCGTGAAGAAGTTTTTCCTTATATCCAAATTAATCAAACTGCTTTGGGATTTCTCATACCTGTACTACTGAACGAGGTTTCTATTTTGGTGAGATTATCTATATTGCCTCAGTAAGTAAAGGACTCACTCAAAGGTCAAAGTCGTATTGGGTTAGGTGCTATACAGAAAAAAAATATCACATTTATACTTCCCTCTTAAAACTCTTTCTGTCTTAATGGGACTCTTTTGCACTCCAAAATAAATTCCACTGGACAAAGTGAAAAAAAAGGCTGTTGCAGGGCAAGTGGAATTTGAAAGCTCCCCAGAGCCATGCTTACAAACCTCAGTAGAGGAACAAGGGCATTATCAAGCAGATGTAAGCAGATGATTCCAATTTTTCTTTGAGCCTGATCTGCATATAAAATGAACTTTTCCAAACAGATTTTATCATGACTGCAACACCACCTATGAAATATGAACTTTCATTTCTACCCAGGAGAACTTTTACAATCTTTTCTCCGATACCTGATGGAGGGTGGTGCCCAAAAGCTTGCAAGTAAAGAATATTTTGCAAAAATCTAGTTGGTCTAATAAAAGATATCGCCTCTACTACAAGTCCTGTATGGCAAGAAACCTTTGTAGAAGTATGTTCTGTAGCAAGTCTCATTCCTCAGCCAACAAATGATTCTTGTTTCAGTGCACTTGAGCTATAGCGACCAGTTCTATATAAAGCAACTCCAGTCCACCTCTCTGATCTAATAGAAAGGCTTAAGGGGAAACAGTGATCAATGGGACACAGGAGTGAGGAGGGGAATCGAATCACTCATAGCCAAATATCACCGGAACGAAGAAGTCCTGCTCATCTTCACTGAGGCTGACATTTACAAAGGGCGTAATCAGTTTTGCTGACATTTCAATCTGCCGCTCTCTGCACTAAAATAAATACAGGTAACCCGTGGAAAGCTAGTGTCAGTATAAAATGAAAAGAAACAAAACAGGAGGATTAAAGCCAAGAGCAATAACAAAAAAAAGCTACCAGCAAGTACAACTACCTGGCTCACTTATAAGACCCTCCATACAAAGATCTCAACACCATCAATATTCTTGTCTGGCAATACTCTTAGTAAACA